ACCAGTGTGATGACAAAGTGGATGCTGATACTGTAAGTAATGAGGAAACACTTCTCTGATTTGTGCACAGAATCTCTAAGGCTTCTCTCTCTCTGTTGACAAAATATAAACAAAATACTGCTAAAAGAGAAATAATATATGAACATTTGAAAAAATTGTAGCAGCCTTAGAAATTACATACAAAAATCCAAGTATGTTAAACTCATTCTGCTAAAGTAATGTCAGCTATATATTATATTTAAAGCATATTAAAACAATAAAGTAAAAGAATTGGTGGACTACATCTTTTTAAATACTATATGATTTAGGATTGATTTTTGTAAATATAAAACACAACAACAAAATGGAAGCAAGCAGTTTATTAGGACCCAGAGTTACATCTATTGTTAGATAACCTCTAGCGACCATCGTAACTATGACAGGAACAAAGGAAGAAGTCAGGTGACATATAAGGAACAACAAAGTTAGAGCAGAGGTCAGAGATATACTTCCATAGAACTCTCCTACAGAAGCTAAAGCGTTGCCTACTTTTAGGTCTGTATCAAAACACTCAGCTTCTGTATTAACACCACGGTAGTAGTGGTTGTTGTCGTGGTAACAATAGTTACCTGGCATACACTCTCTCTGCTACTGTTTAATTGCTTTTCCCCACATTGCATTACTTTACTGGGTACAAATAATATCTTGCTTTTCAGGTACAATATCATCTTATTCTCATTTTATTGTTTTTGTGTTTTAATTAGAAATTTGTAATAAAGCATCACCCAGAAGTTTTGATGCTGCTGTTGAAGAGATTTATCTTTGATTACCGTCACAGGGGATTTGTGAAAAATGAACTCAAGAGTGGAGGTTCCCTACATTCTACAGATACCAGAGGTATTCTGTATTTTTTACTATTTTAACACAACTCCTTAGTTTTTAATCCATGGTCCTGATTTTGCTCATTTTTTCCACTGGTTACCAGAATCAGACCTATGAGCTGTATGCCTTTGTGGACCATTGTGGAAGTCTGACAGGTGGACATTACACTGCAACAGTCAAGTCCCAGGATGATGAGCAATGGTTTCAATTCAACGACACTGCTGTCTCACCAGTAAGACTGACCACCTTCAGTGTTATTGTTCCTAAAGCATCTGTACTTCAACACACAGTTGTGCAGTTATGTGAAGTGTCTTGTTGTTCCTTTCATCACCAGCTTGATCACCAGCTACTCTAGGTGGACAG